AAATTTTTTTTTTATTTTTTTGTTTTTTTTATAATTTAAAATTTAAATAGAATTAAAAAAATAAACCAGTCCGACCCAGAACCTGGCCCGGGGTACCCGGGTCCGGGTCCGGGCTCCGGTTTTGCCAGGCCCGGGCCGACCCGGATGGACAGGCCTACAAATAACCTCCCCAAGTAAAAGAAGATAAAAAATGAACTGTTCATCATCTTCACCATTTGTTTCCCAGAAAACTCAAAAAGCCAAAGTTTTCTTTCCCTTAATAAAACCCCATCATAGAAAAGTGTCCTCTTTCAAGATTCAAAGTTACATATTTCATTGAACTGTTCATCATCCCGAAACCTTTTCAACTAGCAACTAAGTAGAAGGACTAGTTTCAAAATGTGAAAATTTAGGGACCTAGTTTCAAAACACCTAGGTGTCATTTAGCAAGGGGTAAAGGGACGAGGATTAAGGAGAAGGATTAACTTGATTAACAATACATAACAAATTAGGTATAATTAAATTCCAATTGGATTGGATACTTAAAATGAACTATTTACTATATTGCTTTTGGTAAACAAAGAAGAGCTAAGGAGGTTAATCCTCCTCCCTTTTATAAAAATACCAACTTTGTCTTTATCGAAACTAGAAAACATACTATTGAGTGTCACATTAGATCAAATTCAAATTTAATTTGAAAACATCCAAATTATAGAAAAGGGCATCATTTCTGAATTATTTAATTTTCATAAAAATAATGAAATAAATTATAAGAAAAAAAGATAATAACTTATGTTAATTTAGAGTTATGTATATTTCATAATACTAAACATCTAATGAAGTTTAAGACTTTGGTGAGTTTTAAACAAAGATGAAATAGACATTAACTTGGAGGATTTTTTTTTTACCACATGTTTTGTTTAACAAGATGGATAATTATAAAATAGGAGTATGAATAGAACTCAAAGAGGAGGGCATTAGAAGTAATTTTAGTGTGCCTCTTGACACATAATAGTTAACTGGTCAAATGACAGTTTAAGTTAAAACTCATGTGAGGTTTTGTTAGGCCTTTGGTAGTTTTTATTATGTTTGGAGGATAAGAATTTAGGGGGGGCTAATTCAATATATCAAGATCAGGGGCCTAATATCAAAATGCAAGAGATGTGGAGGACTAATATTGAAAAATCTTTTATATTTTCCCAATGTTTTCCGTAAATAAATATATAATGTATAATTTTGAAATTCATATGAGTTTTAAGATCTTTACGAAGAAAGAATAAACAAATTCAAAAAGAAAGTTCACGAATAAGGAATAAACAAATTGAAAAGGAAGATTTATGAAAAAGGATAAATAAATTCAAAAGATGGTTGTTTGGGTAGGAGGGTAGCAGGCTTGATTGTCCAAACACATATTTGATCTTACCTTGGTATGTGTACGTATGGGGAAGCCAACTGTATGTAAGTACGTATGTATGTCAAGGGCAGAGGGTAGCGGGCTTAGTTGTTCAAGTGCACATTTAATCTTACCTGGTATGTGTATGTGTAGAGGCGCCTGTAAGGGGAGTATGTATGTATGTGCCCCGTATGTAAAGAGTCATCCTCTCACTTCCTCATCCAACCGATCTTATTGCTCCCACTTGGGTTACAAGCCCGAGTTACCGGGCTCAGCGGTTAGCTAAGTTGGATTAGTTCATAAAAATAATATTAGTCGTTCCCACGCACCCGATGTGGGATTAAAAAGCTTACCGAATCGAATACAGGAGGTGCAGAGCCGAGTGAGAGACGACGGCAGCGGTGGGATCTGCGGCGGTGTTATCACATTGTCGTCCTCCTCCTCCCCTGACGCGACTCCGGCGTCCCCCTCTTCTGTATACCGTGGAAATTGAAAGATTGGAAATCGCCGCTAAACCCTCCCATCAATTTCAATGCGTGCGTGTCGTTCCAGATGGAGCTCTCAGGGTTTGTGAGAAGACCCCGATCGTGGCGGTGGCTTCAACGACGATGACGTCGATGGTGGAACTACAGTAACATCCGCCTTGGCTGCCTCCAAATATCACGAGCTCGTCAAAGGTATACGCTTTTTTTTTATATTCTGCGCTCTTCCTGTTTGTTTATATGCCTCACTCATCTAACTTTTCATTTCGTCTTGTTATGTTCGTTTATGTTAAGAACAAGCCATTAGTTAAGGAGAGCTCAAGCACAAGCTCCGTGTTTAGTAGGTGTGCATCATTGGAACCAGTGTAACATTTTTGCTCCGCTGCCTCCTGTTGGCATGTTGAGAAAGTTAAACGTGTGCATTTTTGCTCTGCACTCTTTCTGTTTGTTTAAATGCCTCAGCATCTAAACCCAGACGACTTTCTAGATAGAAAACATTGTAGACATTGAGCACCAGTCATCCGGGGTTGACGATTATTGGGGTAGATGTTTTAAGAACAATTCCTCATCAAATCATAAAATGTAAGAACTTCTATGTTTGCTTGCTACTTGCGAACATAGTACTTGTTCTTTAGAAAAAGTGTTTTTTCCTAGAAACCACCTTAAAATATGGTAATTATACAAAAGTCGCCTTTCAATTCCAGTTTATGCATAAGCCATCTTCAAAATTGGTTTTTATTTCAATCAACCATCTCTCAGTCAAAATTTTCATTAAAAACTCTAAAATATCTTTAAAAACCTCACATTCAAAGCACATGACCCATTTTGTTAATGTTTAGATCTTGTTAAGACACAAGTCATGAATGTGAAAATTTTAAGCTTATTTTTGGTTTTTTTTGGTGAAAATTTGATTGGGGGTGGTTGGTTGGAACGCAAACCCACTTTAAAGGTGGTTTATGTGAAAATTAAAATCGAAAGGTGTTTTTTGTACATTTATACATTTACCCTATTTTTAAGGTGGTTTCTAGGAAATAACCCTATAGAACTTGTTGTTTAGAAGAATCACATGACATTATATTTTACCTAGAGCCTCATGTACTTATCTGCTTCTTGACATAACAAATTGCATACTATGATATTCCTATTATCCCATACCCTTCCATATTTGTATTAAGCCCGGAAGAGATTCAACAAAAAGATCATCCTCTACACTGGCACATTCCTATCTAAATTTACAGTTTTCCTTTGCCTAGTCCAAATTTCCTAGCACTCTCTTCGCTTTTGTACCTTGTAAATGAGCTTCATCCTAATATCTTAATAACTGGACAGAGATTTGAGGAAGGTAATATGCAGCTCAAGTTATTGAAATGTATTACAGAACTATATCACAGACTTGCTTGTGTCATCATTCTTTTTTTACCCCAACATTTTCTATAAAATTCACCCTTCATCGGGTCCTGCATATAAAAAACATGATATTACTCTTGAAACACCGAAACTGAACTTGTTGGAACTCTATAACTGAAATGAATGAAAATAGTAACTCAATTCAACTCCTGGGATTACATTGCCGATGTATTGTGTGCAAACTCGAGTTAAACAGCAATTAGAGCTATTAAGTTATATCTTACTCGGTGAGAGAAACATCTAAATCTGACTGGGAAGCAGTAATTGTTAAAGCTACGGCCAACCATCTAAATTTTCTAGTAGCTTCCAATCG